AAATTATGCAGTTGGTCCCTGTTATAACAAATCCTAATACAGCATAGAGCAAGCTTGTTTATAGCCTGGTCATGCTGTGACCCAGAACTGTAGTACATCTCTGGCTTCTGGTGCTTGCTGGCCGGCTTCTTGTGTACAGCGTGTAGGCACAAAAACCTCAAACTACTGGCAGCACATAGAAATTGATGTCAGCAGTAACCTGAAAAAATTGACCAGGGTTGCTTAGGAAATGCCCTTTATAACATAGGGTTATACCCAATTAACCTGCATTATACAAGGGTCCATCTGAGGTAAAGACTTTCAAATATAATGGAAATTTTTTAAAAAAACACTAGAACAATACTAAACTTTTTCTTCTATGGGTCTTCAAAGGTTGAAAGATCTCTTCCAATCTTTTCACCTCTACAGTCCTCTGAACTGCACAATTCAAATTTTTCCTCTGTGTCATCATAACCTCCCTTCACCCAACCTTAGAACATCTCTGACTTGATTTAGTTCAGACTAGAGATCCCATCATGATACGTTTCCAGATACCCGGATGAGTTGTAAACTCCATATTCACTCACTTCCTATGTCCACTATTGTTATAAGATTGAAGTTTGGATGTTTAACTCGTATGGCAACAAAGCACTGAAGCTGAAAGTTAAGGCCTTCTTACTGGATGGGAGGGCATCCTGATTAGCATCTGCCTTTGTTTGCTCCATTACAAGGCTGACTTGTAGAGTCCTTAAATCAAATAATGAGTCAATAAAAAGCATAGAAGTAACTTAAAGGAAGCAGTTACTTCAACCATTGCAAGACCGGCTAGTATGTAATCCAATTTAATGAATGGAGCTCACTGCAAGCCACATAGCAATTTGTCATTAACTGCCTGCAAAAGATTCTCATCTCAACAACAACTTGCATTTATATAGAACCCTTTACGCAGGGTAGGGTCCCAGAACACCATACTGATTAAAATCGGACTGTACGTAAACACTTAAATCTTTAGGGCCTGGAGTGGCGTTCATGAATTGTACAGAACAAGTTTGCAAAAAGTACAGAAGTGAAATCGGTAAGAGCCATGGGGTTATGAATGCTGAACGAATGGGACTTGCAACTAGAACTGAGATCCAGTCGAGGACAGAAACACTTGCATGTTCCCGAGAGAAGTTCTAAACTGCTTCACATGATCTGGGACAAGAAAGGAAAATTAGTCAGTCCAATCAGTTTTCATCAATTCAGTAAAAAAAAACTTCAGTAGCTGTGACAGAAAACAGATGTTAGTTTGGAAAGCTAAATTGGCTGTCAGATAAGAAGAAAAGTTAGGAAAGCAGTGAAAGCAGTGTTGGAGTATTGCTGGAGTCTCACCAGCTAAAAATACATGTGGAGTCCTGTAGTTAAGTGGTTAGAGCACTTGCCTAGCAAGCAAGAGGACTTGGGTTCAATTCCCAGGCAAAGTGAAACATTGGACAAGTTTCCTTGTTCCACATGGTTCTGTTCACCTAGCAGTAAGTGGGAACCCAGTTGTTAGTCGATTGGCGAATCGCTTTTCTGGGGGTAATAATCCCTTCAAAAAAATAATAATTTGGTCACTCAATCCACGACTGTTTGTGGGACACTGCTGTGCACAATTGGCTGCTGCGTTTCACCCATAAAATATACAGTCAATTCACTTTGCAGTCTATTCATGATAATAATCCCTCAAGAAAAAAATAAACAACCACAACTTGCACTTATATAGCACCCTCCACGGAGGATAGTGTCTCAGAGCGCTTAACAGTGGCGGAGCCTGACTCCGAGCCGGTGGGAGGGGAAAGGTGGCTGTAAGTACGGTCAAACAGTAAAATGTTCAAGGCGGAGGGATTGAGGGAGAGTGTTCCAGAGTTTGGGGGCGCAGTGGCTGAAAGAACAACCTCCGATGGTGGGGTGGAGGGTGTGAGGGACGAGCAAGAGGCCGGTGCCAGTCCAGCAAAGCACCGGGTGATGGATTGAGCAGGTCGGAGAGGTAGGGAGGTGCCAGGGAGTGAATGGATTTGAACACGAAAATGAGGATCTTGAAGTCAATCCGTTCGGTGATGGGGAGCCAGTAGAGCTTGGCCAGAATTGTTGAGATGTGGTTACGGAGTTTCTTCCAGGTCAGTATGCGGGTGGCAGAGTTCTGAATGAGCTGGATTCTTGTGAATGGTGGAGCTGGGGAGACCAGCGAGGAGTGCGTTGGAGTAATCCAAGCGGGAGGTGACAAAAGCATGCACAAGGGTTTCGAATGCATTTGGGATAAGGTACGGTTGGAGGCGGACAATGTGGCGGAGGGAGAAGAAAGTGGCCCTGGTCACAGACCGGATATGGGGCAGGATGGACAGCTGGTGGTCGAACTGGACACCTAGGTTGCGCGCTGGTTCAGTAAGTCTGAGGGGGAGCCCAGGGAGGTTGAGGAGTTTAGATCTGCGGGAGTGAAGATGTTGACCGGAGCCAAGGAGGATGGCTTCTGTCTTGTCCATATTCAGCTGCAGGAAGTTTACGCTCATCCAGGGCTTCATGTCTGCCAGACAAGCGAATAGAACATTGGCGAATTTGGTCACTCAATCCACGATGGTTTGTGGCTGTGCGCAATTGGCTGCTGCATTTCGCCCGCAAATGCACAGTCAATTCACCCACAAAATATACAGTCAATTCACTTTGAGGTGTATTCTGTGAAGCACTTTGAGACGTCTAGAAGACGTGATAAGGTGCTATATCAAAGGCAAGGATTATTATTATTGTTGCCATTGATATCACTGTCTGGCAAGCTCTCCCGCTGCTTGTCCAGCTAGGATGACCTTACCTGTTAGGCTCTGGCTTGCAGGGTTAGTAGGAGCTGAGTGGCATGACTTCTTGTCCACCACCCCCACCCAATGACTAGTCTGCCTTTCCAGATCCTGTCATCAGCAGTGTCCTGGAATACTGCAGATCTGCCTAACACTACATACAGAAACTCCCAAAACTATAGTCACTTGTACACATGTTTAAATATCAGGGAAATGTTGGACCAACGCACAAACCCATTGGGCTAATGTTGGACAAGTACAGTGATGTTTGCAAATCAGAGTTGCTAATAGCAACATATGCCAGAAGTATTTTACAGTAACCAGTGGAAATTCTAACCTGAACTAAATCAAGACAGAGAGGCATTTTGAGGGACAGCCAGTGTGCTGCACTTCCACTTACCAGTAGGAATTGCTATTTGCTTCTATTACCAGCTCCAATTATGAATCCCCACATATTGTGGGAAACCTGGTTGCTCCGCCGAGTCAAAAGCTCCCCATTGAACTAACTGAAATCACTTTCATCCACACCACTCTGAAATGTTGGTTGGACAAATGCTATTAATTTTAACTGTTCATGTGAATACAAACAGAAATGTGTTTCATTCAACTACTTTACTTGCTCCTTTGAAAAAAATTGCATTTTTTGCCCATTTAATGACGTTCAACACAACGCTCGATTTGAAAACTAGCACTTGGTTGTTTGGGTCAACAAATTTGAGCAAAATCAATTACTAGAATATGTGATCATGCAGCATGTACAGTGCGTTTCCAAGCAACTTTTGTCAACTTGTTAAATGTAGACTTCATTTCGAAGCCCTTTTTCTATAAGACTTTTAACCACAAGGTTCAGATTGAATTCAGCAATTTGTCAAATTGTGAAAGGTCTAAAATATTACAGAGTAAATCTAGACCCAAATGGAATTTCTCCCTGGTGGTGTTTTGGCTGCAAATTCTCCTCAGTCAAACTCCGTAAAGACCGCTACAGCATTTGTTAAAAACTCATTATATTAAGGCAGCACAAGTTACAGTCAAAGCCAACTGTTAGAAACAAAGACAATCATTTTCACTTAAATAGAGCCTTACGCACAGTGAGAACATCTCAAGGTGCTTTGCAAAGATGGAGTGGGAGCCCGAGCTCGATTGTATGTGTGTGGGGGGGGGGGAGAAATAGGATGATTTCAACATTTTCTAGTTTATACCCTGCCTTAACATAACCTTTTCCAGTCCTGTTATATCCATGCCAAGGCATTGACCAAGAGATTGAGCTTCCAAAGGAAGTTTCAGACAGCTCACTCCTTCCCTCTTCAGCAGGTCCCACTACCTTTATACAAATATAAATGCGCTCTCACATTTCACCCAGAAAGCCATTTCAATTGTACATTCTGTGCTGTGCTCCATCTCTAAAACACTCTCAAAGCAAACGAACACTTTCCAGAGATGGAAACGTGGAGGGTAGGGAAGGTGCTGATCGTTGGCAAGTTCAAAGGTTTTTAGGAGTCCTTCACGTAATAACCAATGTCAGCTGCAATGATAACAAGTTCATATCCAACCTCCAATTACTCCCCAAATCGATATGCTTTTGCACATAATTAATAGATTCCGTATATATAACTTTGTTATGGGTTCACATCTGTAGATTACTTCAGGTTCACACATACTATTGACAAACGCTGTAAATAGAGTACAATATACAATATATACATAGCTGTCAGTTCACACATATTATAGGTAAACCCTCTGAATGCAGTGTGATTAGTAGCCGCAGATTTACACACTAAATAGGCATATACAGCAAATACAATGTGCACAACATCACACATACAAAAGTTAAACACCATAAATTGTGTGCACAGTATCCACTCAACTGCTGCCACACTTAGTGCAGAGCTACTGTGTACACAGAGTGTACAGTACACCACAGCCACAGGTCACAGACACCGCAACAGGTATTATGTACACAGTGATCAGTCAGTACATAGCAACAGGTTCACATGTAACCGTCTGCAACAGCTACAGGTTCGCATAGGCTGTGGAGGTGCCGAGTGTTGGCATTGCGGGTCACACATTACTGTGAAGCTTCTGTATACTGCGCTGAGTCCAGGACCCGCTGCTGAGGGTCACACGCAGTGCAGTGCACACGCAGCTGAAGGCGGGGGCGCGCCTGTGTACCCGCCGCGCGCTGTTCACACACTCCGTGGGTTTGGTGGTCTGTACCTTGTTGCAGTACAGCATCCAGAGCTCGTACAGCCGCTCCGCGGTGGCCATCCCGAGCGGCGGCGCGGGGTCCCTCCCTCAAGTGCCGCACCCCGCCACGCCGACTGCCGGGCGCTCCATGGAGGGGCGGCCTGTGTCCGCGCTGCCGCCCCCGCGGCTCCGGGGGTTTGTTCGGCCCCAAATCGCCCACAAGTCGCGGACAGTCAGCGCGAGACCAACTGCCCACCGGACTGAGCTGCGCCTGCGCGGGTCTGACCAATCACCGCGCCCGTCTGAGAGCGAGGCGGAGAGGGGGGGGGAGGAGAGAGGAGAGGGGAGAGAGAGAGGGGGGGTGGGGGAGAGAGAGTGGGAAGGGGAGAGAGGGGGAGAGAGGGGGAGGGGAGAGGGGTGGGAGAGGGGAGGGGAGAGAGGGGGGGAGGGGTGGGGAGAGAGAGAGGAGGGGAGAGGGGGGGGGGGAGAGAGAGGGGGGGTGTGAGAGAAGGAGGGTGGGGGAGAGAGAGGGGGATGAGAGAGGGAGTGTGGGGGGAGAGAGAGAGGGAGGGGGGAGAGAGAGGGAGGGGGGGGAGAGAGAGAGGGGGGGGGGAGAGAGAGAGGAGGGGGGAGAGAGAGGAGGGGGAGAGAGGAGGAGAGGGGGGGAAGGGAGGAGAGGGGGGGAAGGGGAGAGAGGAGGAGGGGGGAGAGAGAGAGGGGGAGAGGAGAGGGGGGGAGAGAGGGGGGGTGGAGAGAGGGTGGGTGGGGGAGAGAGGGAGGGGTGGGTGAGAGAGGGAGGGTGGGTGTGAGAGAGGGAGGGTGGGGGAGGGGGGGAGAGAGAGGGGGGTGTGAGAGGGAGGGGGGAGAGAGAGGGAGGGTGGGGGAGAGAGAGAGGGGGTGGGGGAGGGTGGGGAGAGGGAGGGGGGTGAGGGAGGGGGGAGAGAGAGGGGGTGTGTGAGAGAGGGGGTGTGAGAGAGGGGGTGTGAGAGAGGGGGGGTGTGAGAGAGGGGGTGTGAGAGAGGGGGGGTGAGAGAGGGGGTGTGAGAGAGGGAGGGTGGGGAGAGAGAGGGGGTGGGGGTGAGAGAGGGAGGGTGGGGGAGAGAGAGGGGGTGTGTGAGAGAAGGAGGGTGGGGGTGAGAGAGGGAGGGTGGGGGAGAGAGAGGGGGTGTGTGAGAGAGGGAGGGTGGGTGTGAGAGAGGGCGGGTGGGGGAGGGGGGGAGAGAGAGGGGGGGTGTGAGAGGGAGGGGGAGAGAGAGGGAGGGTGGGGGAGAGAGAGAGGGGGTGGGGGGAGGGTGGGGAGAGGGGGGGGTGAGGGAGGGAGGGGGGAGAGAGAGGGGGGGGTGAGAGAGCGAGGGGGAGAGAGAGGGGGTGTGTGAGAGAGGGAGGGTGGGGGAGAGAGGGAGGAGAGAGGGAGGGTGGGGGAGAGAGGGGGTGTGAGAGGGAAGGTGGGGGAGAAAAAGGGGTTCGAGAGAGGGAAGGTGGGGGAGAAAGGGGGGTGTGAGAGATGGAGGGTGGGGGAGAGAGAGGGGTGGGGAGAGAGAGAGAAAGCGAGGGGGGTGTGAGAGAGGGGGAGAGAGAGAGACGGGGCAGGGGGGAGAGAGAGGGGGGGTGAGAGAGACAGTGGGGGTGCGTGAGAGAGAGGGAGTGTGTGAGAGAGACAGATAGGGGGGGTGAGAGAGAGAGAAAAAGATAGAAGGGCTGAGAGAGAGAAAGATAGAGGGGGTGAGTGAGAGGAAGATGGAGGGGGTGAGTGAGAGAAAGAGGGGGTGAGAGAGATAGAAAGAGGGTGAGAGAGAGGAGATGACAGAGAGAAAGAAAAATAGAGGGGGTGAGAGAGAGATAGAGGGGATGAGCTAGAGATAGGTGGGGTGAGAGAGAGATAGAGGCGGTGAGATAGAGAAGGTGTGAGATATAGCGAGAACGATAGAGGGCTGAGAGAGAGAACGATAGAGGGCTGAGAGAGAGAAAGAGAGGGCTGAGAGAGAAAAAGAGGGGTGAGAGAAATATAGAGGGGGTGAGAGAGAGGGTGTGAGATATAGCGAGAAAGATAGAGGGCTGAGAGAGAGAAAGATAGAGGGGTGAGCGATAGAAAAATAGAAGGGTGAGAGCGAGAGAGATACAGGGGTGAGAGAGAGGGGGTGAGTGAGAGACAGATAGAGGGGGTGAGTGAGAGAGATAGGTAGAGAGAGATAGAGGGGGTGAGAGACAGAGAAAGATAGAGGGAGTGAGAGAGAGAGAGACAGAGAGAAAGATAGAGGGGGTGAGAGATAGAGAGAAAGAGAGAGAGAAAGAAAGATAGAGGGGGTGTGAGAGAGAGAATGAAAGATTGAGGGGGTGAGTGAGAGAAAGGTGGAGGGGGTGAGTGAGAGAAAGAGAGGGGGTGAGAGAGATAGAAAGTTAGAGGGGGTGAGAGAGAGAAACAAAAATAGAGGGGATGAGTGAGAGAAAAATAGAGGGGGTGAGTGAGAGAGATAGAGGGGATGAGCTGGAGACAGGTGGGGTGAGAGAGATAGAGGGGGTGAGTGAGAGAAAGATAGAGGGGCTGAGAGAGAAAAAGGGGTGAGAGAGAGAGAAAGATAGAATGGGTGAGAGAGAGATAGAAAGAAAGATAGAGGGGTGAGAGATAGAGAGAAAGATAGAGATAGAGAGATAGAGGGGGTGAGAGAGAAAAAGAGGGGTGAGAGAGAGAGAGAGAGAAAGATAGAATGGGTGAGAGAGAGAAAGATAGAGGGGGTGAGAGAGAGAGGGTGTGAGATATAGCGAGAAAGATAGAGGGCTGAGAGATAGAAAGATAGAGGGCTGAGAGATAGAGAGAAAGATAGAAGGCTGAGAGAGAAAGATAGAGGGGTGAGAGAGAGAGAGAGAGAGATAGATAGCAGGGATGAGAGAGAAAGATAGAGGGGGTGAGTGAGCGAGAGGGGGTGAGAGACAGAGAGAAAGATAGAGGGGGTGAGAGAGAGAGAGAAAGATAGAGGGGGTGAGTGAGAGAGAGAGAGAAAAAGATAGAGGGGGTGAAAGAGAAAAAAGGGTGAGAGTGAAAAGATAGAGGTGGGTGAAAGAGAGAAAAACAGGTGAGCGAGAAAACGATTAGAGGGGGTAAGGGAGAAAAACGGATGAATGAGAGAGAATGATAGAGGGGTGAGAGAAAAAAAGGGGTGAGAGTGGAAACGATAGAGGGGTTGAGAGAGAAAAAGGGGTGAGAGAAAAAGGAGTGAGTGAAGAAAAAGAGAGAAGGGGGGGGAAGGAGAGGGTGAGAAAAATATTTGTATGTATTTTGCCCACAAAATATACAGTCAATTCACCATGAAGCGCTTTGCGACGTCTCAACGATGCGATGAGGCACTATATCAAATGCAAAAATTATTATTGTAGATTCTGTGTGTTTTATTTACCCAACATATATTTGGCTATAGTACAACCCAGTGAAACAGTGTCTGAAAGTAAAGTTAAAACTTATTCCAAAATGTATATGAGGGCTAAAACCTGTGCTTGTTTCATGTCAAATGACTGATTAGTGACTATCTTCCGTGGAAAGGGGAGGTAAGCGGATTCCCCTGGAGCTAAAGTACTCAGGCAACGCAATGTTGGAATCGAGTCGAACCTCTGGTGGTCTCAGTACTCAGATTACTGAGCCCGGCCTGTCTGCAGAACTCCATGTTATTGCTGACGAGACCAGCCAGCCTGGTTCATTGGTAGAATTTGGGAGGGTCAGACCAGGGGTTGGGATTCTTCCCACTGAGCTCCTGTTGAGCCTGCAAGTCAAAGCACTAATAAATAAAGAATAATAATTTGGTCACTCAATCCATGAGTATTTGTGGGACACTGCTGTGCGCAATTGACTGCCGCATTTCGCCCACAAAATATGAAGTCAATTCACTTAAGACTGAGAAACACTTTGAAACATCTCGAAGACGTGATAAGGCGCTGTATCAAATGCAAGGATTATTATACCAACTGCACCAGCGCCTTGGGACATCATCTGGACTTGAAAGGTGATTTATTAATGTAAATTTGTATTGTATTGCACTAAGCTGTTTAAACTCGAGCAGCACCCCAACACACACTCTGGGATCCCCAAGCATTGGTTCTTGCCCACCTTGCACCTAATAGGCTCCAGAATTACATAAATAGGATGTATCCTTTAAAGGAGTGAGTATGTATTTCATTCCATGAGTGGGTGGCATACATATGGTTCGGATATTTTAGCATGACGACGAGTTTCTACACGTCAGACAACCAGCTAACAAAAAAATTAACAGCATAACTTCCAGGTCCTAGTATTTGGTGTTTTATGAAAATGCATATCTTTCATCCTGTTGAAAGCCAAAATATACAGAACTATTGCCTGAGTGGTTATATGTTTATACTATGCTTCACACTGCAGAGAAATTGCATTGACATACATCAGAGCAAGAAGTTAAAAAATCACAGCAAAAGTGCACACCTGATGGATGAAAAATTTAAACTTTATTATGGCTCCCCCTTCTGGCCAGGATCACATGATCCATATACAGTGATCAAGCCATTCCTTAAAGAGACATACTATATATATTCCAGCCAAATTCCAGATTTGTTTCTTGGTGGAGGGGTAAAGGAAGATAACTTTGTTTCTCCCACAGCTGCTTTCTACTTACATCTAGGAATCACCTTGATTAGCAGCAGCATTTTGGAGATCATGATCATCTCAAGAATATGAGTGGGAGTAAGTGAAAGAAGTGAAGTGCAGAAAGTGCCAGAACTGAAAGTAATCGGGGCATCTATTGCCTAACACTGTTATATAGATAAACGTACTGTACAAAACACAAATTTACATTTGTATAGCGCCTTTCACGTCAGGAAGACCAATGGGCACCAAGACATCAATCACCCAGGAAAGTTTAACTGGTTTAGAAGGACTTGAGCAGCCCATTAATTAAAAAAGGCAAGTAAAATGCAGTGTTAGTTTAATGTTAGAAAGGCACACATAGCAGCTAACCTACATCCGAAACATTCCACAAAATTTCAATGAGGTGAATGAACATTTTTTTTAATTTGTAGAAAGCAAGAATATTGACCAGGACATCAGAGGAATTCTCAGCTCTCAATTCAGGTGTTCAGCCTGGCTCAGTTGGTAGCAAACTTGCCTTAGGTTGTGCATTCAAATCCACTTTGGGGCTTTGAGCTCTATGTCTGCTGGCACTCAAATAGAGTACTGCATTGTCAGAGATACTGACACAGTCCTTTGGATGAATCTTTAAACTGAGGTCCCTTCTGTTCAAATGGCCATTAAAGATTCCATAACATTATTCAAAGGAAGGAATTTTCTCCCAGGATCCGAACCAACACTCCCCCAGATAAATATTTAGTCATTCACTTCATGATGGTCAACATTCAGGTCAAAAGATCATCATAGATTTCACCTCCTTGCGCTGCACAGGCAGTCCCTCTAACATTCATTCCTGTGTGTTGCGACAAAAAGTGATGTTTGCGTCACTGTCTGTGCAGCATGCAGCAAGTGACATTTGTGATGAACTTTTATGTGGTCAAACATGGCTAAAATCCCAAATAAAATCTATATCTATTATCATCAAATATCAAAAACTAACAACAGCAACCCCATTTATTGTGCAGCATCCAACACATTCTCCAAGCATAATCCAATGGCTAACTGCTTCAGTGTACATGAAGTTTCTTGGCCAAAATGGAATCTGTGTCTTCCCTCACCATAACCTTGTAGAAATTGTGTCCCTTTAAAAGTCTGCCTTTCATCGACCTGTTCAGAATATGAGGAGATTGCACCAGCATGGGCAAAACAGGCAAATGGTCTCTTTCAGCACTGTCGCTTCTATGGTTCAATGTAATTGAATAAACTAAGTGAAGATATTAAGGAAGTGCTGCTTTGGAGCTCATCAGACAAAGTGATTCATATCATTAATATTCAGAAACTAGTTAGGCTTGTCCACTTCCAATCAGAATCACTCGATTGTGTTAATCCATTTCACCAAACAGATCACCAAAATTATCATGTAAGCTTGGTCACAGGTCAACTGCAACAGGCTGGCATTGTCACTCGTGATAATGTACAATGCCAACCTGGTCAGATTGGGTTAATACAGTTGTATCACAACAGTAAAACTTTGAGCATCTTAGTATCTCCAATATGAAAGAAGGTTTTCATTGGAAGCAGCTCATCCTGCATCTACAGGAACTTATTCATTTTTCTCTGTATTCTATAATGTATTCAGGGTAGATCTGGTGCTTCTCAAACACAACAAATATAGACGGGTTAGAGTTGTCATCAACACAACTGTCGTAGAATCTTGTGGTGGTGCCATCTTTGCAAGGTGGTCGAAGGAACGAACTACTTCCTTTGGTAAACTGCCCCACCAAAACCCGTGCCACAAACATGATCCTAGTGGACTGCGTAGATTTGCAAAAATTGTGCGAATAGGATGCATCCCTGGCAAAGTAACTCCCTAAAGGAAAAACAAAGGAAGAGAAACTGACTTGATTGCATTGTGATACATCTAAGATTTCCCAGGACCCTCAAAAGAAAGATGACTGAATCACCACTAAACTTGTATACTGGTACTCCAGGTTAAAGTAGACAAAACAGCTGCGTCAAGGGGTTTAGTGAGTAAGGGGCCTGTGTAATACGCCATACAAGCTCCTGGTTAGAATCTTGGGCTGTACCATTAGCTGTTCTCAGCAGGATCACTGTGTCTACAGTTGGCCCTGGGTCAACAAGAGGAATTTAATCAGGATTCCCAGTCCTGCCTGTAATCCAGATATTCCCTGCTAAAAAATGCAAGTGGGGAGTCTCCCCAAAGGGGGCATGGGAAAGCTAGGAGATATCTCAAATACATTTTTCAAATTATACCAATGGCAAGAGGATACTTTGTACTGAAAATCCTCCCCAGATTTTGCTTCTCATTTGACAATCTATAAATGTCTTTTTTTGTTAGGAAGGGTATAATTGTGCTCATCAATCCAAGGGATGTTACTGCTGGAAAATGGAACATTTGCCATTTCAGACTCATTGTCAGCATCAAGTATTGATACTTCCAGATAAGGTATATATCAGGCAGTTGTTATTATTCTGTCTCAACCTTAGAAGGAGTTTCTCTACTGCCCAATTCCTAATTTGACACCATCCCCATTACCTCTCTTGAATGCGATTATCAATAAGCTACTATCAGTTATGAATTCTCAATACTTCTTTGCTGTGGAGCCAGATCTACGAAGAAAGATATTTCAGACTACTCAACGCTCAAACACTTTCGAGGGAGAGAGAGAACGAACTCAAACACAGGCGTAGAAGTGACATACACTTTCTACATGTCTTACAGTCAACATAATGTCTAAAAGTGCAGATTTTATACAATTTTCATAGGATACATTTTGTTGCAATGGTGCCAGAAAATCAGATTAAAATATGATTGGTATACAGTATAACACAAGATTGAAAATGTGTAATCTCTTCCCCATACCTTTTCCGTATGACGTTCCGTGGGCACCACAGATCCTCCAGTCAAAGTTTTGCTGGCAAATGGCGTCAACAATGGAGGAATTTGTGCCGTGGAAGAGAGATTTCTCATTCACGTCCTTGCCACTATTGCTCTTCTTCATCTGCTCCTTTTGCCTGATATCAGAAAAATAAATCAGGAATGCGACTCAGATCTTCAATAAGAGCTAACACTTGGGCAAAAGGAAATTCAATGGTACACAAGCAAAAACATGCATTTTTTTAAACATTTCAAAGTACTTTTCACAATGAGCTGCTTTGAAGCATAATGCCCATCATGCAGATAAATCCAGCAGTTAATTTGTGCTAATATCACACACACAGTTGTGTGTGAATAACCAATTACAATAAAACTCACATATAAGTTGCATCAGTCGGGATTATAACATTTAATATGACTTATGTGAAGACCAAGTTGCAGGCAAACTGCACGAGTTGTAGAAAATCCAATTTAATCAATAATCTACATTAAACATTCATAATTTAACAAAACCAGTAAGTGCGCATGTGGTAGTTTGTCACTGCAGCCAATAAGTATGCAAGCAGTGACGGGTTGAGACTACATTTCCTATGGTTCAATGCAGCTGGTAAGGGCATGAGCAATAGGGGATCGGCGTTATGAGTTACGAGGTAATTAATTTGAGTAGTGCAAAGAAATCTAAGTGGTTTGATAAGATACTAAATGGGACTCGGAGAATCTATGACTTAGTAAAAAAAGACTTATGTAAGTTTTACTGTAATTTGTTTGAGGTGAATTTGAAAAAGGGAGGCACTGTGACAAGACAAATGAAAAACTTTCTCCTCTTCAAACCAGGCAGAAGGCACTTTGGGTTAAACAGCTCATTGAAAGGATAGCACTCCTATGCTTCAATTTTCTTCAGTACTTCACTAAGTGACAGTCTAAAATGTGAGCTTAAGTCCTGACGTGGGGCTTCAATTGATAACTTTGACAAAAGTTGAGAGCACTACCAGCTGAGCTAAACTGGCAGTCAATTTGATGGGGATGCAAAGTATGGAAGAACCACATTCTGTGCTTTTTCCTAACCCAAGCTACAAAAGGAAATGCAATACCCTCATCAAGTTATCAGTGGCACAGAATCCTTACTTGATGAATGAAATCTCGCGATCACACAAGAAAATAGAGCTGTTGTGAATCACAAGATTCGCTCATGGGTCCATTGCTTCCCCTTTAACCTCCCTTTCCCTTTAATTTATTTATATTTTTGTAATGAGCCATTACAAACCAAGAAAGTCCTGGGTTCCATCCAGGATCTTAACCAGCGAAGCAGTGGTAGTAGAGATGCTATAGAAATAATTTTCATGGTAACCGCTCCTCGCTAGTGAACAAAAACTCTGCTGGAAAGCGAGTGTGGGGACAATAGGTGAAGGTCAGTTTTCTGCTTGGTTGTGATACCTCTTATTGCTTAGGCAATCACAGTCTAGACTCACCCATGAATCATGGCCACTTGGGCGAGATAGTGAAACTGACAGTACCCCATGGTGAAATAAAGTACCAGCCTTCAGGAGAGAAGAGGAGAAAATGCCATATGTAGTCCAGACTACAAACCATTGAAAAACTTCCCAAAGAGGCAGGTTTTGGATTCGTTCAATTTTCCGAATGGTACTGCTGCTCATAGTCCGCATGAAGAGAGTCTGCACTTGGTTGTATTCCTCAGAAGACTCCTGGAGCTGAATGACCTGCAGAGTTGGAAGTTAGTTACAATCAGTTAGAACCAAGTTGTAAATCAAGTTAAAATCACTCAGCCTCATCCGATTCACATTTATATAGAATGTGTTCCTATTCCAATATTGCCCAGTTTAAACATTGAAATCTTCTATGCGTAATGTTCCAGCAGTGTTTACATTCTGCTTAGTGAGATAATAACCATAGTGGAAAATGAAAGTGGGTATAATTTGACCCTACATTTACCAATTACCCCTCAGCACACACAACATGCTTGTCTTCCAGTTCACCAGCTTGCCTTTGTTGTTTTAAATCTAACTACGCACAACACTTTTACCCAAAATGCCCAGGTTCCTCAAGAACTTCTCCTCACCCCACAAAGAGACATATAGACAAATACATACACACTTTGCCCAGCAATGTTACATATTGGCACCGCATGCAGAAGTAAATATCCTTCAAGTGCTCCAAGATGCTACCTGCATGAAGGTGCTATATAATTGCAACTTATTGTATTGCTATCACAAAGCAATGCCCAAGTGGCAGTGATAATGGCCATAATTAATGCAGCAGACATGGTCTAAATGCAGATACCACCAGCGTATTTCTCACCTTGTATCCCACATCTGACTGCGCCGACATATCCCAGTGTGCTGGAATGGATTTACTTTGAGCGACACCTGATAGCTCCTGTCCAGATTTTCCTGAACTATCAAGGAAAAAAAGCTATTAAGGGTCTCAGTTTTGTTTAATGCACATTGAAGTTTCTCATTTTATCTTTTTCCAACCTTTGCCCCCTGTAGCCAATGTATCAATCCCTTTCTATTGGGGTATGGAATCTGCAAGCAATGGTCATTCTCCAGAGGCCATTAGACACATGCACTATGGACAGTGGGTATTGCCAGGCTATTGAACCAATGAGACACCACAGTCCGATCTTGTATTTTATTCAATATTAAAAGTCTAAAATACGGGATCATTGAGTAACACTTAGAAAGAGAGAACTTTCACTTATGGAAACATGTCAAAGTGTCTCAAATTGTTTCACAGGTAAAGACAAGTGTCATTTCTGTGTAAGTGTATGTGTGCTGTTTTTGGAGGCCAACATGGCAGTCAATCTGTTGAAAGCCTGATCCAAGTTCCAGGCACTGGTTCCAAACCAGCAATACAAAACGCTGCTCTCAGGGGAGCAGAGATTGAGCTCAAAAGCTGACTATCTGTACTGTACCTCCTTATCTGGCTTTCCACAGCCTTCTCAGAAAGAAACCTTGGTCTTCTCTTCACATCCCTCAGTGTCCCAAGAAGAACATTTTTCTGAAACATGTCTAAGCAGAGATAGCATAGCAGGGATGAAATAGAAGCACTTCAGAATTAGTGGTCTATTTCTCTCTCGCGCGTCCATTACCCCATTCTTCACCAGCTTCCACGGCTCCCAGTGGATAGATAATAATAATAATGTTTGCATTTGATATAGCACTTTATCTTGAGACATCTCAAAACACTTCACAGGATATACTATCAAGTGGATTACTGTGTATTCTTTTGTGGGCGAAATGCGGCAGCCAGTTGGGCACATCAATATCCCACAAACATGGAATGACCAATTTTATTTTGGGGATTCTTAGCCAGGACACCAGGCGAAACTCCCTTCTCATTTTGAATAATGCCATAAGATCTATAACATCCACCTGAACAGGCAGGTGGGACCTAGGTTTGAGTCTCAGCCGAAGGGTAGCTTTCAAGGTCCTCAGCCTCACCTACAAATCCATTCATTTCCTGGCACCCCTTATCTCTTAAACATTTTCCTCCCATTGTCCTCTGCTCAGCTAACTTGGGTTTGCAGCACATTACAATCCCTCTCCATGCCACCATCTGCAGCCAAGCCTTAAGTTTGTATGCCCCTAACCTCTGGCACTGCCTTCCTCCCCCTCTATGTCTTGACCCCTTTTTCTTGGTTTTATGTCCTGCTTCAAATCCTATCTCCTTGAATGCATCCATGATCAGCCCCCACCTCTCCCCCTCACTCACCATCCAACCCCGTCCATATATATTTCAGAGATGTTATCCTACACGAAGGGCACTATATAAAGGCATTGTTCTTCAATAATTACACTGCTGCACTGGTAACAATAAATAATTCTTGCATTTCATACAAGACTTATAACTTCAAACCATCTCAAAACAGTTCACTGGTAATTGCAGTCAAGTGTAACGACTATATTTTGTAAGCAAATGTAAGAACTATTTTAAACAGAGGAATGTCTCACAAAGACGATAATAATCCTTGCATTTGGTAAAATCCATTTCATGTCAAGGGGTCATTTCAAAACTCTTTGCAACATATACTGTAAAGTGCAGTGACTGCATTTGTAGGTGAACCCAACAGACAATGTGCACGTAGCAATGATCCACAATGCTATGAAATAAATTACCAGTTTTATTTGGGGTATTGTTGGCCAGGACACCAGGGGTAACACTCTTCTCTTTTTGAATCGGGGGATGCGATTCATGTCTCGACCAAACTTAGGAGTTTGAACCCCTAATAGCCTGATTCAGAAGCAAGAGTGCTGCCAAAGCTAACAAATACCTGTGACAGTCTGATCCAAAAGATTTTCTCTGTGTATTGGAAAATGACATTGGGACTGAATCCATTGTTCTTTCAAAGACCTAGCATAGGCAGATGGACTGAATAACCTTCACCTGTACTGTAAATGTCTATGGTTCTCTTGTGTAATATAAATCCAAGGCTTTTTCATCACTGTACCTTTAAAGTTCAGGAAATACTGGTATTTGCCTGCACTGAATTCCACTTGTCCATTGGGGTTTGCCAAATATGCCTTCTCCAGCTCTATGGAGGTTATACTGGCATTGTGTTTCCCCTCCTATTGACAGAGCACATAGTAACAGTTAGGAGCTGTCAAAAATGTTCAATTTCCTGGCTAATCTCTATCAAATGTTTCTTTCTTGCTCACTACCAATTTTAGTTTAACCCAGCTTCACTTCTCCCAAGCTTATTCTGCAGCATGCAGTGTTTATACAGATAAAAAAATCAAACACAGACTAACCCAGGATGACAATAAAATAGCTCCACGAAATAAGGATTGAAACATATCAACTACCTGGTAAAGTACTTTTTGTTAAAGCTGCAACTTAACTATCCTGATTTGCTCCAGTTCCTAAAACATAATCTGCTTGTTTTTGACACAGTTTGAGATCCCCAAGTGTTGATTTCAAAACAATGAGGTCTATTACAAAGCAGGTTACAAAATTACAGAACAATAAGCTTTTAATTCTCAATGCTAAAAAATATATAAATTTAGACACTGACTTCAAAAGTGACATGTAAAAAATGGAAGCTTGCTTTGCAAAATTGTCTTTTTTTCCTTTTCAATAGGAAGGAAACACATTTCTCTCTCTTTGCATCTTTTTTTTCTTTCTGACTTGAATCCTCCACAATTGAACCACTCCAGAGGACTGCCCAATCCAAAAAAAGACCTTTGATCTTAACTATCCATTGAGGTTAGGTCAGAGTTTCAAAAGATTTATCTGACTTGAATCCTCCACAATTGAACCACTCCAGAGGACTGCCCAATCCAAAAAAAGACCTTTGATCTTAACTATCCATTGAGGTTAGGTCAGAGTTTCAAAAGATTTATTCAAGATGTGAGAGAACTTGGCCATTGTCTGTGGGATAATGATCCTGGCCATCTTTGGTCTCAGCACTTTCCACCTCAGTGTGAGGTACTTCAGAAACAATGTCCTTTCAACCAAACTCCAGAGGTCACAAAGACCCTAATGTTGATTGTGGGTAAATTTTTTTATATACACACATATAGCTTTGGCGAAGTTTGATTTATCACAGGAGCTATTTAATTTTTTTAATGAAGTTTTAGCATTCTTGTTCATGTGTGAGCCTTGACTGTGAGTGTTCACAAGAAGCTTGACTGTTGAGGGTGTCACAGTCAAGCCTGACCTTTCTTCATCTGGCTGTCACACACAACTCTCTGTAGAGAGTGCTGTGAGAGACTGGCATCAGGAACTCATGGTGGTTCTCTCCAACCTTGCGAAACCCCCAGGGTCATCTTAGCCTCCCCATGCAGTTCCAAGAGAGACCAGAAAATGTAACATAGACTAGAACTGAAAATTGGAAAACTCACAACTCCATCTGCTACACCCGGGGGTTTCAACCAGGGTACATCTAAAGGTCATAGAATTTAGTGTAGTGGGTGGAACAAAAACGCTAGAACAGGATACAGTATATAGTTTTGAACACAAGTTGTCAAGTAACTGCCAGGATGGTGGAAGGTGAACTAGATGGACCTTGGTCTTCTTTCACCTAGCATGTTCTTATACTGTGCATAGATCCACAGGCACCAGTCAGAGCTACTTCGAAATGAGATAATTTCATATTAAAACATAACCTTACAAATAACAATAGTCATTGCCTTTTGAGCTCACCTGCTTCCCGTATTCAATCCAATTCCCATATTCGTCCTTCCAATACCAGAGCCACTCAGTGGTCAGGATGTAATGAGGAGGCTTGGTCACGGAAGAAGCAGTGGAGAGGCGTCGGACCTGCTTCGTAATAGACCTCATTGTTTTGAAATCAACACTTGGGGATCTCAAACTGTGTCAAAAACAAACAGATTATGTTTTAGGAACTGGAGCAAATCAGGATAGTTAAACTGCAGCTTTAACAAAAAGTCCTTTACCAAAAGGAGAGCATTGCGTTTAAAGCCAGTCAAAGGTCAATGTCAAAGAATCTTTTCAAATAGCATCAGATCTCAGGCCTGGAGATAACCTAACATGAACTGATCTAAGGATTTATTTATTCCCATGGTCATGGAGCTAGAACAACTGTACCAGTTAGCTGTATTCAGGTGATTGTGAGTGTTGAAGACCGTATCATAATGATTATATTATTATTAATAATAACAAAATGGAAAGAGGAAAATAATGCATGGCACATTTTTAATCTGTTTTGAACTAAATATAATTTTTAAAATTATTCTAAGCACACGTTTGAAATGTTGCATGCTTCTCTCCAAACACACAGTCAACTTGTCATCTCAGTTCAAGGTTCACAGAAAATCTTCTCAGAAGGATTTAATCATTCTAAGAGGTGAAAAGTCTTTACTTGAGATTAAAGTGTACTGATTGCAAACATCTTTCAAAGGATCTTCTGAAGATTTCAGTATGATTCCCTCCTCAACATTTCATTAGAACGGACTGGTTTTCAATGTTTTGTGGTTCCAAGTTAAATTATTAAATGTAATTTTACTCAAATAATACAAAAAAACACATGCAATTGAAACAGGAGCTTGACTCTCGGGTTGAGGCTTCGTGCGTCAGTCTTATTGCCAGCAGCACGTTGCTAAGTGCTGATGCAACAGAGCATTGTCTTTATAAAGAATTTTGTGTGACTTTTTCATTTTCAATGGACATTCAGGATTAAACTGGTTGGGCGGTTGCAAGTTTAGCAAGTGAGAAAAAAAAACATTTTTGTTGATCGTCTCTCTGTACCTTTTTTCAGTACTGTAAGTGAAGAGGCTGGATTCGTTTTTTTTTGTTCCCTTATTCATGAATTATTCACAGTCGATTGTTTACCTTTAAGAGCAAACCTTTTGTCCCTCTGCCTGGCCACCTTGGCCTGAAATGTCCCTCCTCTTACTCTGGGTGTGACACCAATTTGTCTGTTGGTCACTCAACCACGACCATTTGTGGGACACTGCTGTGTGTAATTGGCTGCCATGTTTCGCCCACAAAATATACAGTCAATTCACTTTACAGTATATTCTGTGAAGCTCTTTGAGACATCTTGAAGATGTGATAAGACCACTATATCAAATGCAATGATTATTATTATATTCATAGGTGAACACAATAGGCAATTTGCACACAGCAATGTGCCACAAACAGCCACAAGGTGAATCCCATTTTATCTGGAAGATTATTGACCAGGACGCTAGGAGAAACTCCCTTTTTTTTTGAGTAGTGCTTTGGGATTGTTCACATCCACCTGAATAGGTAGATGAATTCTCAGCTTAATGTCCCATCTGAAGGATGACAACTCTTACAATCAAAGTTCTCCTGCCACTACATTGGAATTTTAGCCTAGTCTGGAAATTCAAAATCCCAACTTGGGGCATGAACCCACAACCTTCTGATTGAAAGAGTGCTACTAATTGAGCCAGGATGACACAATGATTGTTCAAAAAGAGAAGAGAGTTACTCTCAGTGTCCGATCAACAATCCTACAAATTAACTGGTCATTCAACTCGCGACTGTGGTACTTTGCTGGTTGCCCCATTTGCCTATAGAAACAGTCACAACACTTCAGAGCAACTATCTATGAAGCATTTTGAGACATTTCAATGTGATAAGACACAATAAAAATGCAAGATGTTTCTTTCTAAATCTTACTTTCTTTCACTTCTCTTTATAACATTAGCATTACCCCTATATTATTTGTCAATCCATAACACAATTTAGTTCCTTTATTTAGTAAACAGTGAGAGGATAGTAGCCAACTGCAGGAAGCATAGACAGAATGGTAAAATGGGCAGACACATGGCAGATGACTTTCAATGTGGAGAAATACGAGGTAATGCATTTTGGTAGAAAGAATGAGGGGAGGCAATATAGGCTGGTAATACAATCTTAAGTGGGGTAAAAGAACAGAGAAACCTGGGGGTTAGGGTAAATGAATCCTTGAAGGTGGCAGGACAGGTAGATAAAGCTGTAAAAAGGGCATATGGGATACTAGGCTTTATAAATAGGGGCATAGAGTACAAGAGTCAGAAGGTTATGATTAACCTATATAAAACACTGGTTAGGCCTCAGTTAGAATATTGCGCCCAGTTCTGGGCACCACACTATAGGAAGGATGTTAGGGCATTGGAAAGGGTGGAGAGGAGATTTACGAGGATGGTACCAGGAATGAGGGACCTTGATTATGAGGAAAGGGTAGAGAGGTTAGGATTATTCTCATTGGAGCAGAGAAGGTTACGAGGAGATCTAATAGAGGTCTTCAAAATCATGAGGGGATTTGATAGGTTAGAAAGGGAAAAACTGTTTCCAGTGGTGGGTGTGTCAGTGACTCAAGGTCACAGATTCAAAATAGTATCTAAAAGAAGCAGAAGGGAGGTGAGAAGAAATTTTTTCACGCAGCGAGTTGTTCAAATCTGGAACGCATTGCCTGAAAGGGTGGTCGAGGCCGATTCGATAACTACTTTTAAAAACGCGGTGGACGGGTATTTGAGGAGGACGGGTTTGCAGGATTATGGGGAAAGGGCTGGGGAGTGGGATTGACATTACATTGCTCTTTTCAAAGAGTCGGCACAGACTCGATGGACCAAATAGCCTCTTTTTGTGCTGTACAATTCTGTGATTTTAACTTTCCACTTTGACTCTCTTCAAAACTCTGCCCAGTCATTTTCCCAGAATCTTTTTATGCTCCCTGCTTGCTTCTCCAATTACCAATTTAGTTTTAAAGCAATATGCAACAACCCCATGTTTACCTCTTCTAGACCTCAACATACCTGGTATTTTTCGGATCACAGTAAGCCTTTTCAATCTCCTCCATGTTTGGAAGATCCTTCCATGCACCCTCATAAACCTGCCATCTATATGGGAGACTGTAATGTACCAGCCTGCATTTATCTGTGAGTTAAGAAGAAACATAATTTATCATATGACAGCCTGGCTCAGTGGTAGCACTCTCGCCTCTAAGTTAGAAGGTTGTGTCAGTACTTGGAATGCAGGAGCCCTGGAGCTTACAACAACAACAAAATTACATTTGTATAGCGCCTTTCATATTGGGAGGATGTCCCAAGGTGCTGGACAATCAGTGTTTCGGACCCGAGCTGGGGATCGTAATTGGGGAGGGTGGAGGGCAGGGGGGAAGGAGGGTGACCGAAGGCACAGTCGCAGAGGAATGCCTTGAGATGGGTCTTGAAGGAGGCAAAGGAGGGGGCAAGGCAGAAGGACTGTGGTATGGAGTTCCAAAGGGTGGGGACAGAGTCGCTGAAGGCCTACTCGTCAATGGTAGGGTGGGCGAGGGGTGGACATGAAGTAGGTTGTAGGGGATTAGGAGGTCACAGAGGTTGGGGGGAGCAAGGGCATGAAGGGTTTTGAAAGTGAGGACCAGGATCTTGAACTGTAGCCTCTGTGTGATGGGAAGCCACTGGAGTCAGGTGAGAATGGGGGTGATAGGGTCACCGAGCCTAGTGCAGGAGAGGACATGGACTGCAGAGTTCTGGATGATCTGCAGCCTAAGGAGGGAGGAGTTGGGGAGGTCACATACATGTGGAGTTTGCGTAATTGAGCCTGGATGCTATGAATGCGTGTATGAGGGTCTCAGCGGCCCGCGGTGTGAGACAGTGGCAGAGCTGGGTGATGATGCAGAGGTGGGGGAAGGCAGAGCAGGTCGTGGAATGGATGTGGGGTAGAAAAGATAGTTGAGAGTCAAATAAGATGCCAAGGCTCCGGACTGGTTCGATGAGGTGGAGTGTGCAGGATGGTGATGGTGATACTGTCAGAGCCTGAGGTGTGGAGGCATTGACAGGAGCCCCTCAGGAGGGCCTCTGTCTTGGTGACATTCAGCTGTAGAAAATTAGCTCTCATGAAGGACTTGATGTCTTGACAGAAATTCTGTCAGGACAGCAGTGGTCCTGGAGTTGAGGGTGAATGCAGAGATATAGTCGGGTGTTATCCACATACATGTGGAAGTTGACCCCTTGTCTGCGGATGATGGCACCAAGAGAAAGCATGTAGATATTGAAGAGAGAGGGCCAAGGACAAAGCTCTGAGGAACAGCGCATGAGATGGTACAGGGCTGGAGGAGAAACTGTTTGTGGAGATGAAGTGGAGACGGTTTGAAAGGTACAATCTGAACCATTCAGGACATAACCATGAAGGTTGAGGCGAAAGGAGCTCAGTGGTTACAGCGCTCGTCTCACAAGCAAGGGGACCTGGGTTCAATTCCCAGCAGGGCGAAATGTTGGGCAAGTTTCCTTACTCCACACACCTCTGTTTATCTAGCAGTAACAACAACAACTTGGATTTATATAGCCCCCTCCACGCCGGATGGCGTCTCAAGAGCGCTTCACAGTAACGGATCCCGGGACTGAGCCAGGGGGAGGGGGAGGAAGGTGACCAAAGGCGCAATCGAAAAGAAAGATCTTCAGTAGAGACCTGAAAATGGGAAGGGGGGGAGAAAGGCGAAGGGAGTGAGGAAAGCAGTTCCAGAGCCTCAGGGCATAGTGGCTGAAGGCACGGCCGCCGAGGGTGGAGCGGAGGACTCAGGGGACGAGGAGGAGGCCAGACCCGGAGGAACGTAGGCAACGGGTACTGTTTTGAGGAGAGAGGAGGTCAGAGAGATAATTGGGAACCTGGTTGTTAGTCGATTGGCGAATCACTTTTCCAGGGGTAATAAACCCTTTGTTAAAAAAAATTTGGTTCACTTAATCCCCGATAGTTTTGGGACACTGCAGTGAGCAATTGGCTGTCGTGTATATTCTATGAGGCGCTTTAAGATGTCTTGCAGATATGATAAGGCGCAATCTCAAATGCAAGGATTATTATTATTATCATAGTCTAAACTGACACTCCAATGCAGTGCTGGGATGTGTTGCATTGTTGGAGGTGCCATCCTTCAGATGAGCCATCAAACCGAAGTCCATCCTGCCTGTTCAAATGGATATTACAACAACAACAACAAGATTGCATTTATAGACCGCCTTTCACGTCCCACAGCAATATTCGAAGAGAGGGAGTTTTTCCCGGTGTCCCAGCCAATAAATCCCGCAAATAAAATCGGTTACTCATTCCATAGCTATCTGTGGGACTCTGCTGTGCGCAGTTGGCTGCCAAGTTTCGCCCACAAAATACACAGTCAATCCACCAGTATATCCTGTGAAGCACTTCAAGACATCTCAACAACATGATAAGGTGCCATATCAAATGCAAGGATTATTTATTTCAAATCAGTAACATTTTACACTTTTGTCTTACTTCCTGACACAAACTCAATCCCCTGGGTGTGAGTGAGTTCTACCTGACTGTCTTGCTCAGCTCGGGCACCTAGACAGACAATATTAACACTACAGGATTGAATACCTTCTTAAAAAGAAGTCACAGTTCCAGTCTAATTCAGAGCCTATTGCAATTACGAAGACTGCGGTTTTCCACTGAATTTCAATTAACATAGTTCACAGATACTCAAAGATAAGATTTTACGGTGCACCTTCAATAAAAGGGCTTTAAGAAAGAATTATTTTACTACTTGAGACCAATTGGAGAAGTTACTTCAGCTCTGAATTATTTTACTACTTGAGACCAATTGGAGAAGTTACTTCAGCTCTGACTACTTGAGACCAATTGGAGAAGTTACTTCAGCTCTTAGTTTATGACTCCAGTTGAAAAGATCTCATCTATCCCAGTTTCCAGTGCAACCTTTTGAAAGCCGAACAATGCTCATCGACACCTCATACTAACTAGTCTCATGGTTGACTAGCTCAGCAGGGAGTTGAGTCAATAGCCCAGCTTCTGGTATATTTTGTTACAGTATATAACACAAATGACTATTCCTCACACATGAACTGAATCTATGACAGCAGCTGATTGGGCAATTACAGCCGAATGACGATCCTGTCCTCATATGAGACCTGAATTTCTACGTGATCTTAAACTCAAGCCCACTGCTGTACAGTGTAAGATTGTGCAGAATTTTGAAAAATTTTAAAAATTGCAGGAGGTCAGCTTCCAAATTGGGACTGCAGGCTAATACCATGAGGGCTTCAAAATCCTACCCTCAGCACAGCTTTTCATTCATTATCAAACACCTCAAGAAGATTGACCCGAGATATAGCGCCTTATCTTGTTGAGACATCTCAAAGTGCTCCACAGAACATATTGTAAAATGGATTGACTATGTATTTTGTGGGTGAAATATGACAGCCAATTGTGGATTGAGTGACAATTTTTTTTTGAGGGATTACCTCTGGAAAGCGATCCGTCAATTTGCCTAATGTTTCACCCTGTGCGAGAATCAAACGATTCGAGAGCACTAACCAATATGCTACAGGATTGCACAATATACCCAGTGGATCTCTTAACCTCAATGATTTTGTCTAATCTTTTCATCCTCCTGTGGGTGAGATTGATCTTTGAAAACTGGATGGATGGCATCAAAAATACCTTAACAACAACAACAACAACAAGATTCCATTTATAAAGCGCCTTTCACGTCAGGAGGACGTCCCAAGGCGCTTAAGAGATTCCCCCCCACTTTACTGCCACTCACTTGCCTCTTACTTCACCTGCTCTCGTCACTCTCCCCTTCCTCTCTCACATGACCCAAGTTTCAGTACCTTTAAAGCCACAGTTCTTCCTGACGTAGTACAGACAAATCTCTTCATTTTCCACATCTGTGCTAGGGCTAATCGGGGAGTCACTGAATGGGGCTGTGGAAGTCTTCTCTGTGCATAATGGGAGGAAAAGGATGAAATACAGGTAGAAATTCGGTGTTGTTATTAAATAGTAATAAAAATAGTTTTAAATCACAATGCAAAGAAGTGCTCATTATTCACCTCTCCAGGATTAAACAGTGAAGAAAACAATAAGTTGCAATAGCAAGAGTATGTTCGTGTGGGAAAAAAGTAACAGGAAACACACACACCCACACAAAGACACACAGATATATCACAACTATATTGCACACAAATTCATAGAGCTACACCATACATAACAACATGAGAACGCTAAACCAACCACACATATAAAGATCTGAGAATACACCAGCATACACTCAACAAAACCAAATTACATTTGGATAGCGCCTTTCAGGAGGACATCCCAAGTCGCTGGACAATCAGACAATCGGACCTGAGCTGGGGGTCGGGATCGGGGAAGGTGGAGGGCGATGTGGGGGGGAAGGAAGGTGACCAAAGCCACAGTCGACGAGGAGGGTCTTGAGACGTCTCTTGAAGGAGACACGGGAGGGAGACGAGGCAGAAGGACTGAAGGATGGAGTTCCAGAAGGTGGCGGCAGAGTGGCTGAAGGCTCAACTGCCAATGGTGGGGTGACGAGGCGGGGGATGTGAAGCAGGCTGGAGTCCGCTAAGCGCTAAGGCCATGGAGGGCTTTGAAGGTGAGGACCAGGATCTTGAACTGTATCCCCTGTGTGATGGGAAGCCAATGGAGTTGGGCAAGGATGGGGCTGTTAGGGTCGCGTAGCCTAGTGCGGGAAAGGACACGGGCTGCAGAGTTATGGATGATCTGCAGTCTATGGAGGGAGGAGTTGGGGAGGCCAAAAAGCAGGGAGTTTGCATAAGGAGTTTGAGGTATAGAGTGTATCCATAAAGGGAGAGGCTGTAAGTGCCCGAGGTATGGAGTCTCTGACAGGAGCCGAGCTGGAGGGCCTTGGTCTTGTTGACATTCAACTGCAGGAAGTTACCTTTCATCCAGGACTTGATGTCCGACAGGCAGTCTGTGACAGGCACTCAACTAAAATATGGGGGGAGGGATAGGAATTGACAGGATTTATAAAGGATTCACAAACAGTGAATTCTGTACACAATCAACCACAGGTCAACCCTCAGGAACTTTAATCCAATCTAATTTCTTTGTGAAGCTAGATTGTGGCCAAAGGAGACTTCTGACACAAGATTGGATCACTGAATGAAAATGGGTACCCCATGATTTGAAATTTGCAAATGCTGTAAAATTACCCTCCAAGAAGGCTTAAAGTAAAATGCCTGCATCAGGACAACCCCAACCTGCCCAGTTACCTTTGCTGTCACATGACCTGCAGTTTTTGATGTTGTAAATATTTGAATATATCTTCGGGAGTGCCTGGTTGAACTCCATGCTCAGATGCTCCAGGGCATTTGAGCCATTGCTTTCAAAGCTGTGTGAACGTTTACACTTGGAGCCAAACTTACAGGTGCCTTGAATAAAGTGCTGGCAGATGTGAAGCTTAGTGCAAGACTCCTTGAAGTTGCAGGCACCATTGAGACCAGGACCCTTATTATAGAACAAGCAGACCTGTAAAGAGAGCATCAGTGACAATTAAATTTCCAATTTAACATGAGTTCATGTGTTTAGCAAAGTTTGCTCAAGTAGAAGTTGCATAAGTGATATTTATATAGCAACAAAACCAAGAAATGTAATAAATAAAGATTTAGAGTCCCCAATTATTCAGACTTTAGGTAGTAGGTAACTGAGCCATACAGACCAGAAGGTCCCAGTTTCAATCCACAGTCTGTGCTCTTAATTACAGGTGATATCAGAAAGGATCTTACAATTATGCCCCAAGTTGGGAGGGAGAATAGGAAATCAGTGTTGCTTAAATTGCTCTCTAGCATTCTCTGCTGCAAGTGTACTTAGTGTTTTTATTTGGACATACGTTCAGATCAGCTGACCACAGAATTAGAGAATAAACCTAGGACCTTCCTTAATAAAGATGTCAGAAAAGCCATTCATTCTGAGTAGTGGCTGTGGTCTTGTCGCCAAGAGGTGGTCAGAGTGTGGGTAAGTGGACATGCTTTGTGGGGGTTCCTTCCAGTTCCAAGAATGCAGATTGATCAGTTATTTGGGTAAACAGCACAAAGTTTGAACAGCACAAAGTTAGGTTTGAATGCAGGGAAACTTTCTAGTTGTCGATAATTGAGTATCAAAACATCTTCAGATCTTAAACATTAAAATAAAGTTCCCTTTAATACCGCTTAGTAATCAAGAGTTATATATCTCATTTGAACGTTACCATTTGACACAGTAATTTACCAACTAACAAAACCTTTTTTTGTTTAATATTTTTATAAATGATCTGGAACTAGGAACTAGGAGTTGCAAGCACAGTGGCTAAGTTTGCAGATGACACCAAGCTAATGAAAGTGGTAGATTGCGAAGTTGAACAAGATAGGTTACAGGAGGATCTGAACATACTTGGGAATTGGGAAGATCGGCGGCAGATGAAATTCAATGTGGAGAAATGTAAAGAACTTCACATGGGGATAAAAAATCCTGGAAGGGACTATTATTTGAACAGAAGGTAAATAATATGTATGGAAAATCAAAAGGACCTGGGGGTCCTGACTGACAATAAATTGAAGCTCTCCCAACAATCATTGTGTCAGTGAGTAAAGCAACCCAGATGTTGGGATGTATCAAAAGATCAATAGCAAACCAAAATAATGGGGTAATCGTGCCACTGGTCATTGGTGAGACCACACTAAGAGTACTGTGTTCAGTTCTGGTCGCCATAGCACAAAAAGGATATTGGAGAAATCGAGAAGATACAGAGGAGGGCAACCAAAATGACTGAGGGAATGGAAGGACTGGACTATGAGGAGCGACTAAGTAAATTGGGCATGTTCACGCTGGAAAAGAGAAGATTGAGAGGCGACATGATTGCTGTCTTTTAAGATTCTAAAGGGGCAACCAATATAGATCATGATAGACTGTTTCAACTTGTCCAGAAAAGTAAAATAAGAGGACATAGCCTGCGATTGAAGAGGGGTAAATTCAGAAGGAATCTACGCAAACACTATTTCAGTGAGCGAATAGTGAACCTGTGGAACAGGCTCCTTAGGGAGACAGTTGAAGCAGGAAGTGTTGATTCTTTCAAACAAGGATTAGATAGTTTTCTTTTAGGAAATAACATTATGGGATATAGTACATAGGTAGTTTGAGATATATGTGCATGCGACTGCGGGAAGGTGAAAGGCGAATAAGATGGACCTTGGTGTTTTTTCGTCTAGCATTTCTTATGTTCTTACATATGCTATTTAAAATATAAGGATCAGAATTATTATCATAGGTAATAATGGGTTACAATGACTGATGCTGGTTATCAGCCTGATTACCACTCAGTACTGGGGTTAGAGTGAGTGGGGAGGAGAAGAATGTAGCCAATGTTCCCATGTTTTTTTAAGATTGAGTAATTGCTGATGAACAGTGTGGGTTTGAGTGAGGACATAATCCTCATGAGGCTGATCTGTGATGTGCTCCCCTCATTTGCTGAGGTCGTGGGGATGGGGGTTAGCAATTGTTGACACTTTTGGAGCTGCCCACAAGTTATCAAATTCAAAAGAGGAGAAATGTATATACTAGTTACTGCAGCTTGTTCAAACCTAAGCTTGTGCTGTTTAGAGTCAGCTTATTACCTAGATAAAGTCATCAATCTGCTTTGATCAACTGGAAGAGCACCCACAAAGGCTGTACATTTGCACATACTCTGATTGCATCTTAGTCAATACAAAACCACAGCCAACATTTTCCACTGTTCACAATTAGTGACTGTCCAGACACCTTTATCCAGGCAGGACTCAGGTTAATTTCCAAGCTCTATCCTGAGCTTCGGATGTTCTGCGGTGAGTTTCCTGATCTCAGCTTGATGCACATACAAGTACATAACGTATACTTCAAACAGAGTGCTGGACAGCACTACATGTAACAAAACAGGAACAAGTCTGAACTAACTCAGAGTGCACACCTCAGGGAGGAGCGAGAGGTCGTTTTGAAGCAGGAGCTGACACAATTCCTTCGGGTCCAGACTTGAAAGGCAGTTATTTTGAATGATTGTAGCATTATGGTTGCTGGTGATATTATGTGAGAAGTTGCAGATTTTTCTGAAATGGAAATGAAATGGAAAAACAATGAAAAGTTTAGAAAGTTTATGAACATATGTTAGGAGTGCAATTCCCACAGTTGTCACAACCATATCCAGTTACCAACGTGATTCAATATTTGAGAATGCAGGTGGCGATGACCCAGCTTCCTCACCTCGTTCAAGACGTACCTCTATGATCGTGTTTTAGGTTATCTTTCCCATCCTCACCCCCTTGGCTCTCACTGCCAGTGAAGTGTGGGATATCCCAGGGGTCCATCCTAGGCCCTCTTCTTTCCTTATCTATATGCTCCCTCTGGCCGATGTCATCCGCAGACACGACGTAAACCTCCACATGTATGCGGATGACACACAAATCTACTTTACCTCCTCCAGTACCAACTACAGGTCCGTCGATGTTCTATCAGCTTGTCTGGCAGACATCAGGGCCTGGATGAGCGTAAACTTTCTGCAGCTGAATATGGACAAGACAGAAGTCATACTCCTTGGCTCCCGTTAACGTCTTCACGCCTGCGGATCTAAACTCCTCAATCTCCCTGGGCTCCCCCTCAGACTCGCCGAACCCGTGCACGATCTAGGCATCTGGTACAACCCCCAGCTGTCCTTCCTCCCCCACATCCAGTTCCTGACAAGAACCGCTTTCTTCCACCTCTGCCATAATGCCCGCCTCCAACCCCAAATGCAGCCGAAACCCTCATGCATGTGTTTGTCAGTTCCCACTTGGATTACTCCAATGCACTCCTCTTTGGTCTCCCGACCTCCACCATTCACAAGATCCAGGTCATTCAAAACTCTGCCACCCACATACTGACCCGGAACAAACTCTGTTACCACATCTCACCAGTTCTGGCCAAGCTCTACTGGCTCCCCATCACCGAACGGATTGACTTCAAGATCCTCACTCTCGTGTTCAAATCCATTCACTCCCTGGCACCTCCCTACCTCTCCAAACTGCTCACTCCCCAATCCATCACCCGGCTCCTCCGTTCGACTGGCTCTGGCCTCCTGTTGTCCTTTGCAACCTCTGCCCCACCATTTCAGCCACTACACTCAAAAACGCTGGAAAACTCTCCCTCAATCCCTAACCCTAACCCTAATTCACTTCTCTCCAGCCTACCTCTGTGACCTCCCGACCTGGCCATTCCCTTTGCTCAGCAAACATCCCCCATCCCATCTGCCCTACCATCTCCATTTTGTCCCTCAGTCTCCCCAACTCCTCCTTCCATAGGCTGCAGATCATCTAGAACTCTGCAGCCCATGTCCTCCCCCGCAACAGGCTCCGCGACCCTATCACCCCAATCTTTGCTCGACTCCACTGGCTTCCCATCACACAGAGGATTGAACCATATCAGTTCCAAATCCTGGTCCTCATTTTCAAAGCCCTTTGTGGCCTTGTTCCCCCCTACCTCTGCGACCTCCTAACATCCTACCCCCTGTCCATTCCCCCCACTCAGGGGAATCCAACCAATTTCACGTCCCCCGCCTTGCTTGCCCTACCACTGGCGAGTGAGCCTTCAGCCACTCTGCCCCCACCCTCTGGAACTTCAACCTGCAGTCCCTCCACCTTGCCCCCTCCCTTGTCTCCTTCAAGACCCATCTTAAAACCCTCCTCTTCGAACATGCCTTCGGACACTCTCCTTCCCCCCCCCCCGCCCTCCATCCTCCCCAATCCTGATCTCCAGCTCGGGTCTGAAGTACTGATTGTCCAGCACCTTGGGATATCCTCTCGACATGAAAGGTGTTATACAAATGTAATTTTGTTGATGCTGTTGCTGTCTGGAGCTCTATTCCCCAGCTCAGGAGTCCCTTGACTCCCTCCCTCCCTCCTCTCTTTCAAGGTACATCAAGACCTAATTCTTTGACCGTGCTTTCAGCCAACTTTTCTCCTCCCATCCCACCTCGCTCGGCTCCCATGCCCCAGCTCAGGTACCCAGCTCAAGCACTTTGAGACATCCTTTCAACATGAAAAAGGCGCTGTGTGAATGTTGTTATGTTTCTGGAAGGGAAACAGAAAAATATTGCTTATGCGACCCATGGACATGTCTCAAATAAGGCATCAGTCCCTCAGCAACTACCCCCTAAGCACTGCATTGGAGTGTCATCTTAGACCACCCTGGTCCAATGCAGTGCTTAGGAGTTTCTGCATTGTTGGAGGTGCCATCCTTCAGATGAAAGGTTAAACCGTGTCCCGTCTGCCTGTTCAGGTGGACGTTATAGATTCCATGGCACTATTCAATAAAAGAAGGGAGTTTCTCCCAGTGTTATGGTGAACAAGACCCCAAATAAAATTGGGAGATTTTATTACTCACTCAATGGCTGTTTGTGGTTCATTGCTGTGCGCGACTGGCTACAGCCTTTCGCCCACATACAGTCATTCCATTTCTTAGTAAATTCTATGAAGCGCTTTGAGACGTCCTTCTGATATGGTAATCCCTCCAAAAACAAAAACAATAATAAATTGGTCATTTTCAATCTACAACTGTTTGTGGGACATTGCTGTGCGCAATTGGCTGCTGCGTTTGCCCACAAATATACCGTCAATTCACTTTACAGTATATTCTGTGAAGCGCTTTGGGACGTCTAGAAGACGTGAAAAGCGCTATATCAAATGTAAGGATTATTATTATTATTATTATTATTAAGGTGCTATACCAAATGCAAGGATTATTGTTATTACCAGTTTCCCATTTATAAACCAAGAAAAGCAACAACAGCAGCAAACAAAATTACATTTGTATAATGCCTTTTACGTCAGGCATTCCCAAGGCGCTGGACAATCAGTGTTTTGGACGTGAGCTGGGGGTTGGGATCGGAGAAGGTGGAGGGCAGGGGGAGAAGGGTGATTGAAGGCACGGTCGAAGGGGAGGGTCTTGAGACAGGTCTTGAAAGGAGGAGGCGAGGCAGAAGGACTGCAGGATGGAGTTTCAGAGGGTAGAGCCTGAAGGCCCGCCTGCCAATAGTAGGGTGGGCAAGGTGGGGATGTAAAGGAGGCCGGAGCCTTTTGATCAGAGGGAGCGGGCAAGTGGGTAGGAGGTCGCAGAGGTAGGGTGGAGCTTTGAAGGTGAGGACCAGGATCTTGAACTATATCCTCTGAGTGATGGGAAGCCAGTGGAGTCAGGAGAGGATGGGGGTCATAGGAGCACGGAGCCTGGTATGGGAGAGGACACAAGCTGCAGAGTTGTGGATGATCTGCAGCCTCTGGAGGGAGGAGTTGTGGAGACTGACAAGTAGGGAGTTTGCATAGTCAAGCCTGGAAGTTATGAATGTGTGTATGAGAGTTTCGGCAAACTGCAGTGTGAGACAGTGGCGGAGCCGGGCGACATGCGGAGGTGGGGGAAGGCAGAGCGGGTCATGACACAGATGTGGGGTAGAAAGAATAGTTGTGGGTCAAATAAAATTCCAAGGTTCTGGCTTAGTAAGGTGGAGTGTGCATCCTTGGATGATGATGTTGTCAGCACCTGAGGTGTGGAGGTGCTGATGGGAGCCAATCAGGAGGGCCTTGGACTTGTTGATGTTCAACTGAAGAAAGTTAGCTCTCATCCAGGACTTGATGTCTGACAAACAATCTGTCAGGAGAGCAGTGGTCCTGGGTGGAATCAAGGGTGGAGGCAAAGAAATAGAGTTGGATGTCATCCGCAAAAATATGTAAGTTGTCCCCATATCTGTGGATGATGTCACCAAGAGAGAACATGTAAGTATTGAAGAGGAGGGGACCAAGGACAGAGTTCTGAAGAACGCTGCATGAGATGGTGCTCAGGCTAGAGGAGAAACCGTTTGTGGAGATGAAGTGGAGACGATGTGAGAGATACAATCTGAACCATTCAAGGACAGAACCATGAAGCTGGAGGTGAGAAAGGCAGTGGAGGAGGATAGAGTGTTATTTGTCACTTTGACCAAAGCTGCTTCTGGACTGTGGATGGCATGGAAACTCGATTGGAGGGGTTCATGGAGGGAGTGGCGGGAGAGGTAGGAGCGAAGCTGGGAAGCAACGACTTGTTCCAGGACCTTGGAAAAGAAAGGCAGGTTGGAGATGTGGTGGTAATTTGAGAGCAAGGAAGGGTCCATGGAGCGTTTTCTAAGGATACGAGTGATGACGGCCATTTTTAAAGGGGTGGGAATGGTGCCAGTGGACAGGAAGAGGTAGAGGGGCAAGAAGATGGAGGTAAGGAGAGGGTAGAGATGGGGTTGAGGGAGCAAGTGGTCAGTTTCATGCAGGTTATAGTGGTGATGAGAAAGAAGTGGGAAACGGATTCAAAATTGTGGAGGGAGGGATGGGCAGGGGCTGGGAAATGAGGGGGAAGTAGAGGCAGCTGAGCGGATCCCCTCAACTTTGGTTTCGAGGAAGTCCAACAGTTGGCGTTGGAGTTGAGGATGGGCAAGGGGTGAGAGGGTGGGTGGAGGAGCCTGTTGGTGATGGAGTAGAGGAGCCTGGGGTTATCCTTGGCCTCTAAGATTGTCTTGGAGTAGAATGACAGTTTAGCAATTGCGAGGGCGGAGTGGTAAGATTTGATAAGGTCCAGCCAGATCTGCCGATGGACCGTTAAGTTGGATTTGAGCCAGGTACGTTCAGCGGCACACACCTGTACCTTAAAAGGAGCGGATTTGGTTGGTGTACCAGGGTGACTTTCATGAGTAGGAGACGGTTTGGAAAGTGAGGGGAGCAACGCATCAAGGGTGGGGGAGAGGGAATTGTGGAGGAGGGTGACCGAGGACGATAGGTCATTGTGAGAGCAAGCCCAGAGGGGGAGGAGTTCAGATGATGCCAAGGCAGCGGAGAGGGAGTGGGAGGAGATTTTTTTTCCTCAGGGGCGGTAGGAGATGGAGGTGGGTTGGGTGGTAGTGGAGAGAGGAATTGAGGAGTTAACGGAGCTGAAGTAATGGTCCGAGATGGCTTTGTCAGTGATGGTGAGGTTTGAGACGGTGAGGCCCTGGGTGATCACCAGGTCGAGAGGATGACCGGGTGGCAGAGTGGATGTGGAAGAAGAGGTTGAAGGAGAGGAGAGAGGAGAAGTCAGCAGACGTAGAGCAGACGGGGATGAAGTGAAGCTTGAAGTTCTCTAAGGTTGAGAAGGCGTTTGGAGCAGAGGGAGCGGAAAGATAGAAGGGTGGAGATGTCAGGGAGGAGAGTGGGTGTGGGCTGGGGGGAGGGGTGGAGGAGGAGGGTGGCGGCGATAGATAAGGAGAATTTTGAGAAAAGTTTGGAGGGTTGATAAAGGGTAAGGTGCTCGAAGGAGGGGAAGGTTCCAGAGGAGCGAGGGGGGGGCGAGTGAGGGACTGGGAGGTGACAGCCGCACCGCCACCGCGGCAGTTCGGTCGTGGGGTATGAGGTCCTGAGCGTCTCTCGCGTCTCAGGGTGGCTCCGCCGGTTGCTTGAGCAACCTGCCCCCGGCATGACCACCCTGGGGGGGGAGGGGGGGGTCTGACCCCGCCTCAGTTTGAGAGCTGTTCTGACTGACTTGCAGTGAAGCGCTCTCTGTCGCTGGTGCAGGTGTGAGGCCGGAGAGCGGGTGACGGGCGGCGGGAGGTGACGGCGGAGGGTGGAGGGGGCGGGGGGGGAGGCGCGGGAGGTGATGGGCGGGGGGGAAGGGCGGGGCGGAGGGGAGGGATGGGGGGGCGGGAGGTGATGTGGGGGGAGGGCGGGGCGGGAGGGTAGTGGGGGGGGGGGTGACGGGCGGGTGGGAGGGCGGAGGACGGGGGTGACGGCGGGGTGGGAGGGGGAGGGCGGGAGGTGACGGGGGGAGGTGGGGAGGGGGTGTGGGGGGAGAACGCGCCGCGCACTCACTTGCCTTCCTTTGGAGAACTTGCAGTTGCCGTAGACGAAATACCTGCAGAGGTGGAGCTGCCCACAGGGCCCCGCGCAGCCCCTCCTCACGTACTCTTTGCAGAGTCGGACCGCGGTGACGGCGAGGACGAGGGTGTCCTGTGCGATGCGGGTGCCCGGCACTGCGCTGCCGGAGCGCGGCACCAGCGCGAAGCTCTGGGCCTCGGCCACAACCCGACTCAGCGCCGTGTCCGACACGGTCACGGACTTGGCCACTGCCCTCCGCAGAGCGCTGTACTCCAGAGCGCCGCCGTACGCACACACAGCCTTCGTGGTGTAATCTTTCACCCGTTTCACGTCCATCGCTCTTTTCCCTTAACCCCCACCACCGCTTCTCGGTCTTCTTCTTGTTGTTGTTGTTGTTGCTGCTGCTATTTTTTTTAAAAAAATGCCCCTTTCCTCCAGACTTATCGCCAATGTAAACGCCGTATCTGTCGCCCTTCCCCTTTCTTCTCGATTCTTCGCACTCCAGGAAATGGAAACCGAAACTCGGAGGGTGGACCCAGATCCTGTTCTCTGGGTCTGTTCCGCGGGATTGGTTCCTCGGGGCTCCCGACTCACCGCAATAGTGCTGTTATTCTGCACAACGCACACAGGAGGTCACATCCAAACTGCTCAACCAAAGCGGCTTCTTGGTCAGATCGCAATAAAAGGAAACGGAGTACATTGAAGGAATTTGTAATACGTCTCTGATAATCACTGTTCGGTGCAGCACTTTTCACATCAGGACTTTGTCGCCAAGTATTTCGCACGAAGTACTTCACGTGGAGTGAAACGACTGTATGTTTGTAGGCAAATGTGGCTGCCCAATTTTATCGGGGGGTTATTAGCCGGGACACCGCAAGAAACTCCCCTCTCTTTTCGTGTAGCGCCACGAGAACTTTAATGTCAGTCTGAACAGGCAGAGACGGGACCTCAGTTTAACATTTCATCTGAATAGCGGCATCTCCGACAACACAACACACTCCCAGCACTTCATTGGAATGTCAGCTTAGATGATGTGAGTTCAAGTCAACGTGGGGCTTGAACCCAAACATAAGTGTATGTAAAGCATAGATTCACATTCAGTTCCTGGGATGAGGGGACTGATCTATGAGGATAGGCTGAATAAACCGGGGCTGTATTCTCTAGATTACAGAAGAATTAGGGGAGATCTTATTGAAACATATAAGATTCTTAAAGGGCTGATAAAGTAGACACTGAGGGACTTTCCCTGGTAGGAGAATCTATAACCAGGGGTCACAATCCTAAAATTAAGGGTCAGCCTTTTAGAACAGAGTTGAGGAACCATTTCTTCACTCAGAGGGTACTACCCCAGAAGGCTGTTGATGCTCATTCCTTGAACATCGTCAAGGCTGAGACTGATAGACTTTTAAAAAATAGAGGAATTAGGGGATATGGGGATAGGGCAGGTAATTAGAGTTAGGCCAGAAGATCAGCCGTGATCTTATTCGAATGGTGGGGCAGGCTCGAGGGGCCGAATGGCCTACTCCTGCTCCTAATTCTTATGTTCTTATGTTCTTAAAGAATAACAGTAATGAAAAGAAAGCTACCATTTCAAAGTGAAATGTTTGGGCAATCACTTTTCATTTGTTGATGAAAGCAGAACACAGTGAGTTAACCAAAGTCCTGTAGCTCAGTGGTTAGAGCACTTGCTTTGCAAGTGAGAGACCTGAGTTCAATTCCAGGCAGAGGGCGAAACCTTGGGCAAGTTTCCTTACTCCACACAGAGCCTAATAATAATCCCTCCAAAAACAAAAACAATAATAAATTGGTCATTTTCAATCTACGACTGTTTGTGGGACATTGCTGTGCGCAATTGGCTGCCGCGTTCGCCCACAAATATACAGTCAATTCACTTTACAGTCTATTCTGTGAAGCGCTTTGGGACGTCCTCCCGACGTGAAAAGCGCTATATCAAATGCAAGGATTATTATTATTATTATTAAAGTCATCATTTGTTCTTCAAGGCACATATCAAGACCCTCCTCTTCGACCGTATCTTTGGCCACCCTCCCTACCCTCTACCCTCCCATACCCCAACCCTCTCCCCCTGCTTGGGTCCAAATTTCTGACTGTCCAGCGGCTTTGGACATCCTCCCGATGTGAAAGGTGCTGTACAAATATAATTTTGTATTGTATTGCATCATGCCTTCAGCCTGGTTTAGGTAATAGTACTCTTTCCTCTTGAGTTGGAACTGTGTTGGGAATTTGAGCTAACAGCGTAAGGGGGTGACATCATGCAGTGCTAAGGAACATTGTCAGAGGAGCCATCTTTCAGATACCATCTTTCTTGCCTATTTAGGTGCAATGTTAAAAGTCCTATGGAATTATTCAACAACGACAACAACTTGCATTTATAAAGTGCCCTTCATGCAGGGTAGCATCGACCCAGGGGTGAGGGAGTGGGGAAGTGACAGTAAGCACGATCAAAAAAAGTGCTTAGGTGCAATTTGAAATTGGGTAGGGAGGGGGCAATGTGGAGGGATTGAGGGAGAGAGTTCCAGAGATTCGAGGCATAGTGGGCGAAAGCACGGCCACCAACGGTGGAGCAGAGGAGACGAGGGACAAACAGGAGGCAGGAGCCAGCCAAGGGGCGGCAGCATGTGAGGGAGTGAGGGGAAAGCAGATCGGATAGGTAAGGAGGTGCGAGGGCATGAAGGGATTTGAAAACAAGTTTGAGAATCTTGAAATCGATCCATTCAGTAATTGGAAGCCAGTGCAGCCTGGCAAGGACTGGTATGATGGGGGTACAGAGTTTTTTTTTGCGGGTGAGAATCTGGGCAGCAGATTTCTAAATCGGTTGTAGTTTGTGTATTGTGGAGCTCCGGAGACCAATGAGTAGGGCATTGGAACAGTCCAGCCGGGAAGTGACGAAGGTGTGGACAACGTTTCGGCTGTTTTTCTTCAGAGGTGGGCAATGTGTCGGAGGTGGAAAAAAGCAGTTCCGGTCAGAGAATGGATGTGGAGTAGAAAGGAAAGCTGGGGATCAAACCTGATGCCTAAGTTGCACACAGGTTTGCTGAGTCTGAGGGAGAGCCCAGGAGACTGAGGAGTTCAGACCTGCAGGAAAGAAGACACAATTGATCACACTATTCTCCTCCACCACTTTTCTCTCATCCACCTTAGTGGGACTGCACTTGCATGATTCGAGTCCTACTTGACTAACCGCCAACAAGACATCATGGCAAACGATTTCTTCTCCCACTCCCGCCCAGTCACCTGTGGGGTACCCAAGGCTCCATCCCCTGCTTTTCCTCATTTACTTGCTCCCTCTTGTCAATGTCATCCGCAGACATGGGATCAACTTCCACATGTATGCGGTTGACATCCAAATCTACTTCTCCAGCTACCAACTCCCAGCTCACAGATGTTCTGTCAGCTTGTTTGATGAATATCAAGGTCTGGATGAGCACAAATTTCCTGCAGCTGAATAGCGGCAAGACGGAAGCCATACTCATTAGCCTCCGTCAATGTCTTGGAATCGAGGGTGGAGGCAGAGAGATGGAGTTGGTTGTCATCCACATACATATGGAAATTGACCATATGTCTGCGGATGATGTCACCAAGGGAGAGCATTTAGAAGTTGAAGAGGAGGGAACTGAGGACTGAGGACAGAGCCCTGAGGAATGCACAAGACTGTGCAGGGGCTGGAAGAGAAACCCTTGGCGGAGACAAATTGGAGGCAGTGTGAGAGATAATACCTGAACTATTCAGGGACAGAATGGGTTAAGGTAAGACGAGAGGTGGTGGAGGAGGATGGAGTGATCAACGTTAACGAAGGCAGCAGAGAGGTCGAGGAGGATGAGCACGCGGATGGAGCCCTGGTCACTGATGGAAAGGTTGTCACCTTGACTAGAGCAGTTTCCATGCTGTGTGCAGCATGGAAACCCGATTGGAGGGGGTTGTGAAGTGAATGGTAGGAGAGGAAGGAGCGAATCTGGGAAGCAACAACTCTTTCAAGGACCTTTGAAAAAAAAGGAAGGTTGGAGATGGGCTTGTAGTTAGAAAGTAGGGATGGGTCCAGGGAAGGTTTTCTCAGATGGGGATGATTATAGCTGTTTTTAGGGGGATGGGAACGGTGCCAGATGGTAGGGAGAGATTGATGGTGTTGGAGAGTAGAGGGGCGAGGAGGTAAGGAAAGGGGTGGGGAATGGGTCAAGGGAACAGGTGGAGTGTTTAATGCTGAATATGGTGGTGATGAGAGGGGACAGGGAGACAGTTTCGAAAATGTGGAGGGAGGGATGGGTGCTGATCAGCGTGTGGGTGGGAGATGGGGAGGAAGGGCGGAGACGTCAGAGATGAAGGTGGGGGAGATTTTGGGGGGAGCAGTAAATGAGGAGAATTTTGAGGGAAAGATTCAAGGGATGGTAGAGTGTAAGGTGCTCGAATGAGGGGAATGAGCCAGAGGAGTAAGGGAATAGAGAAAGTGAGGACTTGGAGATGAGGGCCACACCACCGCCACGGCGGTTGGGATGTGGGGTATGTTGGGAGGTATAGACGGGTGGTGTGGCCTCAGTGAGGGGGAAGGTGTCACTTGGGGTGATCCAGGTTTCAGTGAGGGCCATGATGTCGATATTTTCATCAACAATGAGGTTACTGAGTCTTGTTGCAGAGGAAGTGGACAATTTGTAGGCCGGTGCAGAGGGGACAGTTGACAGGGGAATGTGTGAGATGGGAAAGGGTGATAGAGTGATTGGTAGGGAGAGTGGGAATGAGGATGAGGGAGGAGAGGTAGGCCCCTGGGGTCTGTGTCCGGCGGGGCTTGCGGTGATGGTGGGGAATGGGGCAGTCAGTGTGACTGCTGCTGGACAGCCAACGCCGAATGCAACAGTGAGCCAGGTGGAGGATTCCCAAACTGGAGCAGAGGGAGGCTGTGGGACTGTCAAGCGGGGATAGGAGGCGAGGAGGACGGAGAGAAAGGAGGACAAAGCAGCAGAGTTGCAGGGATGGGGGCATTTTTGGGGAAGGACAGGTCTGGGTTGGCAGTCAAGATGCGCAAGCCAAGACGTGAGGCAAGCGGTTAGCGGGTCATAGTCAGCCCGCAGACGTGGAGACAGCGGGGGCTAGAGGCAACGCAGAGGAGTAGAGCAGAGGTAGCGCAGAGGGAGGAAAGTGGGCAGGGCACTCATTGTGTTGTTGGCCAGGTTGCCCAACCTGGGAAACAACACCAAGCAGCCTGCAGGGGACAGACAGAGAAGGAGAAGGAGACAGGCACTTATAGACAAAGGGTATTATACAACACCAAGTTTCAGTGGTTGAAATCTGGCAGCGGAAGTGATGTCACGCAGGAGTTTCAGCCATTGGTTTAGGCGGGAGATCTTTAAATGGTGGCTCCTTGGCTGAGCCCAGTAATGGCCACCGCTCCCACTCAATCCCTGGCCCTGTTTACTGCTACCTGCCGGCCCTGATCCCCGGGACCCCTATTCTGCTGCTACCTCCCAGCTCACACTGGAAATCTCCTTGGTTTTATTTAATACCGCTTCTGCAATCATATCCAGTAGTTCAAAATAACGGAACTTATACAACTTGGCTAGA